GGAGGTAACTATGGGGAGGAAGTGGGAGGGGAGCTGCTGCATTGTAAATTTTGGTCAATGACATGAGACAAAGTGTATGTGAACTGCTGTATGAAAAGTGAATTTACTCTGTAAATCTTCACCCAAATCCTAATTTAAAAAAAAAAAAAAACCCTTTTCTTTCACCCGGGCTGCGCGACTTCTCTGGCCCCTCTCAGGGACCTGTGAACCTCGCCCGGGCCCTTCTCAGGGACCCGTAAACCTCTCCCGGGAGCGCAGAATAAAAACTTCTCTTTGACTCCACTTTTGTGCGTCCTATTCTCCTTACTGTGACCTTATACTTAGGTGCCCATCAACAGACGACTGGATAAGCAAACACACACACAATGGAATACACAATGGAAACATACACACAATGGAATACTATGCAACACGAAACAAAAATGTAGAGTCTGCGAAACACCACACCATGCGGATGAACTTGGAGGACATTGTGCTGAGTGGAGTAAGTCAATCACAGAAGGACAAATATTGTATTAGTTCAGAAAAAGTCAAGGAAAGGTTTATATATGGAAGGGAAACTTTCTTTGTTGGTTACCAGGGGTGAGAGGGGAGGGAACACTGCAAAAATAGAAACAATTAATTAATTTTTTAAAATTATTAAAAAAAAAAAAAAATTATACCCAGAAACAAAGACCACGGGGAGAGAGACCAGAAACATTCGCGGTGGTTATCTGGCCTTGTCTTCCCTCCACCTATCTTTAGTTTCTAAATTTTCTACCCAAAGCACACAGAAAGGACAGTGCATAATAAGGAAAAAATGTAATAAAATAAGGTCAACATTTCTTTCTGTTACAGTCCAAAGTCACCTTTAAAAAAAAAAAAAAAATCAACGTTCAGAAAAACGAACAGGAGAGGAGACCACCTCAAAGGAGAGATGTCGCAATGACTCCGGAAGCTGGGGCAGAGGAACAGCAGAGTCAGCAGAGAGGAGGAAGTGGACCCCCAGGGCCTGCAGAGGGGGCTCAATGAGAAAGAGCCAGGCTTTGCTGGAAACTGCCAGAAAGTCAGGAAGTGGCCTCTGGAAACTGCCACAGGGGGTGGAGGCAAGGTACAGAAAGCAGAGGGCCAGACTCAAGCCCAGGCGCCCCTGGCCACTCCACCACCCCCAGTCCGGGCAAAGCTTATTCTCCCCAGCTGCTCACACCTCCAGGG